GCGAAGAAGAGATGAGACATAGGGACGCTCAGAAGAGGAGGCTGTGTGAAGTCAGAGGCAGGGGCTGGTGTGACACAGCCGGCTGCAAGCCAGGGAACTCCAGGTATTTCCGGCAATACCAGAACTGCAAGAGCAAGGAGGAGCCTCCCAGCAGCCTTCAGAGGCAGAGGGAGTTTGCTCCTGCTGACACCGTGGCTTTTGAGCTCTGTGAGGCAATACCTTTCTACTGTTAAAAGCCACCCTTTTACAGTGATGCATCAAGGCAGCCCTCCTGGGTGTTTACTTCTATTTGTGTGTTACTGGGAAGTAGTGCAGTGTCCATGTTTATTGAGTGTTTTTATTCTGTGAATTGGTTATGGTCTTTGCCTCCTGTGTGTTCCTCTGCATCTGTGATTGGGGCCACTTTGCCTGGATGGATGGTGGAGGGAGGAGAGTACTGAGCTGGGTGTGCCCGTGACTGGGGCGCATCCTTTGGGGCTGCTTCTTGGTTTGGAGAACACCCCCTGCCAGGAAGCAGTGTCCTGGCCTGGCCCAAGCTGCACTTGGCCCTGGGGCAGGGACGCTGCACTTCTCTTCTGCATGTGTGGGGGCTGAGGAGAAGAGGTCAGCAGCCCAGTCAGAGGAGGCTCCAGGGACGCCACCGGCAGCAAGAGGAAGGTTTCACTTTGGCAGTGCTGTGGGGCTCGCTGTTTGTTTAAACAACCCCAGAGAAAACCATTTGGCCAAACTGTTAGTTTCTAAACAGTTATTTCCCTGGTATTTAAACAAACTGCTACCCAGGCCCTCCGGCTGATCCTAGGGAGCATTATCCTCTCCTTGTCCTGTCCCCTAGAGTCCCTGTACCCGCACGCCCACCCCCAGGCCTGCATACCCACACCTGGGGCTGCTGCTGGGACCTCACCAGAGGCAGCACCTCTCAGAGGCCAGGCTGGCGGCTTTCTCTGCAGCTGCTCTGGGCTGACCAGGCCCTGGACAGGGTCCCCCACCACTGGATTGTGATTGCCTCTAAGCTGGGTACAGCTCACACAGACCATCAGACAAGCAGCAGGGTGTCACGGCTGACGCAGGCTTCTTGGTCTTTGTAAAATTCAAAAACCTCAAAGGCCTTGCAGCCTGAGTAGTGTTAGAGACCACCCCCCTCTGGAGTTAGTAAACACCTACAGATTGATTCCAGCAATGAATTACCACCTCAACCACAAAAACTTAATTCTAAGTAATTGCAAGGGCTGCTGAGAATGGGGTTCCTGGTGGTGTATGCTTGAGGCTTTGGGTTGACCTGGTTACCAGAGGGCTGGAGCTGAGTGCACTGGATTTCTGAAGGCTCTGGGCCCATTTGGGACACTCTGCTGGAATCTGCCATGTGGTGACGGCCACGTAATCCCAGAGGCTTTTTTTTTCTTTTCTGCAGTTTTTGGCCGGGGCTGGGCTTGAACCTGTTACCCCTGGTATGTGGGGCCGGCGCCCTACTTCTTGAGCCATAGGCACCTCCCCAATCCCAGAGGCTCTTGAGCTGAAGAGCAGACCTCCCCACCTCAGCAGGCCCCCTGCCTTCTTTCACAGCCCGAGGGCCAATTTAAACTTGTATACCCGTGGATCTCCATCACTTAAGGTATCTGCCCTGTGACCCTAAGCGTTTCATGAGGGCAGATCCCAAGTCTGCTTTGTCCACAACTCCACCTAAGGCAGCTGGCCCAAGCCCTAATTTAGTAGCTCCTCACAGAGCTATTGGTGAGGTGGCTGAGCCAGCCAGGTGCCAGGTAAAAAGCATGCTTCCTGTGTGTGCTGGCTCCAGTGACAGACATGTTTGGCTCTCATTTTTCCACTGGTTGCTGTGTGTCTTTGGGCTGGGAACTTAACCTCTCTGTGCATCAGGTTCCTCAGCAGAAGAATAGGACATAATCACAGCTTGGGTTGTTGTGTGAAGATTGCATTATTTTAGGTAATTTGTTAGGCATATTATGGGAGTAAGGACTGGCAGAACAGGCTCAAAATATGTCCTGGGACCAAATGTCATTTGCCATCTGGAAGTTGTGTTTTCTTTGGAGTCATCCTGGAAATATTGCTTGAGGTCAAGTGCGGTTTGACATCCACCCTCTGACCTGCACGTGAGGCTGCCTTGGCCTTGGCTTGGGAGTCTGCCAGCCTCTTTGGACACTTTGGCAGATGCCCCTTGCACAGGCCTCTTCTTGGCCATGCATGGGGGGAGCGCCTGTGAGTGCCCCTCCCTGCATGATGGCCGATCAAGCCAGGACGCTCTGGAGCGGAGTTGATGGTCCCCTGGATGTCAGGGCAGGACAGGGGCTTAGAGAGCACCAGGAAACAGTCCCAGAGAGGGCCAGGGACCTGCCTGAGGTCGCACAGTGGGGGCAGGCCTGGAGGTATCCATCTTACATTGTCCTTCCTCATCCCAGGATGTAGAGCTGCCTCTTGACTTGCAGGTCTGGTGCCTGTCCTGGATGTAGTGTTGTCCCAGAACTTTAGTGGGCAAAGGGGGCATGAGCCCAAATCCTGGTGAGCTGCTAGGGGTGGTGCCCTGGTGAGAGGCAGACTGGGGGTAGGTCAGGGAGCCAGGGAGGGGCAGGAGCAGCTCCTAGAGCAGTAGGAGAGGTGTGACCTGGGCCTGGAAGGACAGAACATTTAGAGTGTAGCCCATAGGGGTAAGACCTGGTGGAATTCACAATTCCCCCTCCCCTGCTGACACACCAAATCAGAACTTGCATAAACACCTCTAACTAAATCTGAATCTGGCCCTCATTAATTAAGAATGTGCCCTTGGGACGCCTTCCAAGTGCTGCCTGTCACCGTGCCTTCCCCACCTTCAGCCTCAGTTTCCCCAGCTCAGGGCATGAGCAGCCATTGCTGTCTCTTGAGCACCCTCTAGTGGTGGAATTGGACTGTGCTCCGGGAGCTGGGAGCAGAAATCAAGAGCAGCTGTTGCCCTTGCTGGGAACGTTGGGCTGTGGGACCCCAGGACCACTCTCAGGTCTCTGCATTTCTTGGGGCAGGAAGAGAGCATGGGGGTGCAGAAGGGAAAGCTGGGAAGTCTGCAGCCTGGCTGGGTACCAGGGAGACCAGGCAGGCGGCTGCAGGCCTGGGCCTAGGGGTCAGGGCTGTGGGACTGCAGGTCATCCACCCCAGAATACCAGAAAGCAGTCTCTGGCCCTGACCTTGGTGTGGTGAGTCCTTGAGACCAGAAAGGGCTTGAACAAATGAGAGGACAATGACTCAGCTCTGGGAGAGGGAGCCAGTTCCTGACCCAGCAGCCTAAGGTGGAATTGGGGACCGGGAGGCCCTGAGCCTGCTTGAGGTGCCATGTGCTAATAAATCCCAGCAGGGGGACTTGGGACACGGAGCATGCAGCCTCTTCTCCCTTGCTGCCCTTTGCCCCATCGTTGAATCTTAAGGTGTGGTCTGCACCTTGGGTCCTGGTGGTCAGGAGCATGTGGGCGGTGGGCACAGGGGTTCAGAAAAGAGTCCTGTAGCACCCTGCCCCACACACCAAGCTCCAGAGATGTGAGAAACAACTGGAGGGCCGTGGTGAGGGGCCCCCTCGGCTGGGGGTCTCCACACTCCTCCCACCCTCAAAGCTAGAGTAGGTGGTGAAGGGGGTCCTGGAGCTTTGGGCCCTGGGATTTGCAAACTGCTAGAACAGAGCTGCAGACCACCACCCACAGTTGATATTCTTGTAGGCCCTGCCAGCCCAGGACACCCTCTGTGCTCCAGGCCCAGGTAGGGCCCGAGTTTGGCTTCTTTCATGCTGAGCCTGTGTCATCAGTAAGGCCAGCACAGGTACCTGGAGCACAGGTAACTAACTTCCTTTGGGGATTCAACATATGCAGATCATCCCTGGTTAGAGATGTGGTTTCTCAGATCTGTGGGCTGGCAAATCTTGCCTCACCTAGAGGGAGGGGTTTTTACTGAGGCCAGAATCATTCCAATGTCCTTCTGTGCCCAGGATGTGTTTGTTCTGTCTATGGGGCCATGCTGGGAGGGCTCCCCTCATTCTCCTATGTGAGTACCACACTGAACCCCTGACCATCCACAAAGGGGCTCAGCCCCAAAGCTGCCCAGCCCACCAGGCTTGGCTCCAGGGTGCAGCAGAGACCCAGGTGGCTGTGGGTGGGGACTTGATTCTGATAATGTTAGAAGTGTGTCGACAGTGCCTTGCTTGTTCTAAGGGTCTGAGTTGGTTGGGGTCATTGCTGTGATCTAATGGGCTGTTTCCAAGGCCCAGCTGTGTGGAGGCCCCATGGGCATGGTGGAGTCCCACCCAAGGAGTCAGTGCCCAGGTCTCATCCTGGCCAGGCCCCAAATGTGTGTGGTCCCAGAGGTGTTTCTTATCTCTTGTCTTGGTTATCTCATGTGTAGCCAGAGCCAGGACTTCCCTTTGGCTTGGTGCTCTGTAAAGAAAGAGGTTAATTAACTTGGCAATCATTTCTGGCCCTTCCTGGCAGCTGGGGTGACAATGAGGAACACTGGGGTGTGGTCATGGGGCCTGAAGCTGCCTTTTGGATGGAATGGAGAAGAGCTTCAGGGATGAAATGGCATCAGAGCTGGGCCAGAATGGGCGAGCACCTATAAGGTGGCACACTGGGATGTTGGGTCTGGCACCTACATGGTGGTACACAGGTATGTCTGAAGCCTGGTGCCCGGGCAGGACTTGGGATTGGGGCTGGTTTGTGCCTGGGAGAAGGGCTGCAGGAGAAAGGAGGACTGACTGGGACAGCTCCCACACCGCAGTTGAAGGCACATGGCTCGGCTGTGTGGCTTTGGGCCAGTTGTGTAACCTCTCTGTGCCTCAATTTTCTCATCTGTAAAAGAAGGAAACAAAGAGTGCCAACTTTAGAGCCCTCGTAGGGTGACCTACAACTGTGTGGGGTGAACTGGGTGCTATTGTTTCGAGGAAACCTTGGAGACTTGGCTAAGCCCCTCCCCTCTCCTGCTGACCCAGGCCCTGTCTCTGGTGCCTGACCCCAACCATGCTGCTCATGTCTCTGCAGGGGCTGAGGAGGTGCTGTTGCTGGCTCGGCGGACAGACCTACGAAGGATCTCTCTGGACACGCCGGACTTCACTGACATCGTGTTGCAGGTGGATGACATCCGGCATGCCATCGCCATCGACTATGACCCCCTGGAGGGCTATGTATACTGGACAGATGATGAGGTGCGGGCCATCCGCAGGGCCTACCTGGACGGGTCCGGGGCACAGACGCTGGTTAACACTGAGATCAATGACCCCGATGGCATCGCGGTCGACTGGGTGGCCCGCAACCTCTACTGGACCGACACAGGCACCGACCGCATTGAGGTGACACGCCTTAATGGCACCTCCCGCAAGATCCTGGTGTCCGAAGACCTGGATGAGCCTCGGGCCATTGTGCTGCACCCTGTGATGGGGTAAGATGGGTGGGAGGCTGGGCACGAGTGAGCGGGAGATTAACCCAGACTGGGGGCTCTGGAACATTCAGTCGAATTCCCTGGAGGAGGGCTTGTTGAAATGGATGGCAGGGCCCCCACAGTTGTGATTCAGGGGGGCTGGGCTGAGGCTGAGAAACCACATCTCTAACAAGCTCCCAGGTGGTGCTGATGCCACTGGTCCTAGGAGAAGGCTATGGGAAGTGCTGCCATGGACGGTCACATCCGTGTGTAGAAAGCCCTGGAGACCCGGCCAAGTCTGTTTCCCGGGGCCTCGGTTTCCTCATGTGTGGCAGGGAATGCCCCACCTAGATGATTTCTATGGGCTTTGCCTCTACTAAATGCCTCACACGCCGGGGGTCTTCTTGATCTCGCTGTACTCTTGGATAGGAGTAGTTGTATACTTGAGGACGCTAAGCCCAGAGAGGCTCAGGGACTTCCCCAGGGTCATACAGCCAGGAGGTGGCAGATCTGGGACTGGGCCTGGTAGCGCAGTTCAACTTTCTAGTTTAAGGTTCTGTGAAATGGAGCTTGCTAATGGTGTGGGGGCATTTCTAGGTGTAGCCGAGGGCCGTCCTGGAAAACTAACTGGGCAGACTGTCAGGACCCTCAGGGAGGAGGCAGGGGAGAGTCGGGGGTGCCATGGGAAGCTGCCTGCCACCAGCACAGGGCATGGGCCGGGATCCTGGAGGGCCCGAGGGTGTCACATAGTGCTGCTGCCACTGCGTGCCCAGCAGGCACCACAGGCACCTCTCATAGTGTGGCTCTGGGTCCCAAGGCTTGGAGGTGATATTACTTACCCACAGTGCCCCATGGATAGTGGCAGGGCCAGTTTAGAGTCCCAGCTGCCTGTGAGGCCTGTGCTGGTTGCCCTGCCCTGGAGGGGCAGACGTGCTGGCTGGGGAACTTTTGTGCCAGGAGAGTCTCGTTTAGGTGCCAGCCAGCCAACGGGCAGCAGGGCCATGGCAGACGACAGGGCCATAGCGGGTTGCAGCCAGGGCAGGGGCTGGGGTGCAAGGAGCCCTCACTGGACCCTGCAACACTGCATCAGGTGAAAAATACTGTTCTATGTTGGGCAGGGTGGTCCCTTAGAGGATGGCAGGTGAGGGGCGACTCAGGGTCTCCAGGGTTTTAGTGGTCAAAGACAGAGGAACTAGTTACCAGCTCTAGCGAGGGGAACGTGGCCCTGAGGACCTGCTCCCTGCCCAGCTGCTGGTGAACTTGATCAAGTCACCGCCTCTGTAGTCCTCAGCTGTGCAGTGGGGGAGGCTGTGAGGCCAAGGCTCCCAGAGAGGGGGCTTTGGTAGGCAGGTATGTGAGATCTGGGAAGGAGCATCGGGACACGTTGGAAGCCGAGACTCGCCTTGAGCAGGGGGAACTTCCTCTTGCAGCTGCCACCCCAGGAAACTAGGTGGGGGGCCAGAGGGAACCAGTCACCTGTCCTTTGCAGAGGGAGCCTTTCAGTTAGGTGCAGAAGGCTCTGCTGCCCCCTTCCTCCCTCGAGGTGCTCAGCCACGGGGCGGACTTGAGGCCGCCCCAGACCCTTGGTGGGGCATCTCTTGCCCGCTGACCAGTGGGGTGGGAGATAAGCCCCCCAACCCTGTGAGTTTTTGAAAGCCCACATGGGGTGGGCCCCACTGTTCCCGGGATCTGCTGGCTCTGCCTACCGGCCTGCTGCTCCCCTTTAGGTCCCATTTACCGAACACCTTCCATGTGATGGGGCGCACATTGCTCCTGGCCTTGGGGACGCAGCTGAGATGAGACAGACGGGTGCTATCATGGATATCTGCTTCTTCTCCAGCCTCATGTACTGGACAGACTGGGGCGAGAACCCCAAAATTGAGTGCGCCAACCTGGACGGGCAGGAGCGGCGTGTGCTGGTGAATGCCTCCCTCGGGTGGCCCAATGGCCTAGCCCTGGACCTGCAGGAGGGCAAGCTGTACTGGGGGGACGCCAAGACAGACAAAATCGAGGTGAGTCTTCCCTGGGAGGGGCCGTGGCCAGGAGAGAGCACTGGTTCAAGGAGTGGGTCAGTGCATGTATACCATGCGGCCGGACACCGCCCGGCTGTCCCTGGGCCCTGAGTGTCACGCAGAGGCCAGCCTTGTGCAGCATGACCCTCATACCAGGTTGGTGTTGATGGACGCCTGTGCTCTGCTGTTTGGGCAGATGGAATACAGGTGACCCTATTCCTGAGACTGTCTGCTTAGGTCATATTTTCTTTTTTTTTTTTTT